GACGATATACAGACAGATGCGTCGTTCTCGGCTGGGAGTTCATAATTTCGCAGATCAACACGGCTGGTCAAGAACACCCGGTAGCTATTGAGTCTGGTGCTTTCAACACAGCTCAACTGAATTATACGGTAGGAGAAAAGGAGTTCCTCGCTGTAGTGGAGGGTTTCAGAAGAAGGAGACACTTATTATTGCAGGTAGAAACCACAGTACTTACCGACCATCTAAACCTTACCTACTGGATGGAACCGAAACAACTCAGTCCTCGGCAAGGTAGGTGGGTAGAGGAGCTAGCTAACTTCAGGTTTAAAATGGTTTATCGGCCAGGAACCCAGGCAAGTCTTCCAGATGGATTATCTAGACGGGCGGACTATCATTCCGGGAAAGGAAGTACCATGGTACAAGAGAGCAACCTTATCCAAGGTCTGCCGAAGTTCGACGAAGTTGACGCCACCACGTCGGAGTTGCGTCACCTCCTTCGAGCATTGCAAGGGACAAGGGAGGTAAAGGAAAATGATCTTGTGGACCCTATGGATCTAGTACTTGGAGTTCAGGAGGACGAAGACATAGAAGGGGTCAGAGAAGAATTATTAGGAGTCGTTTGCGCTGAGTGTTCTCATCCTACGTGTAACGATAACGTGCAGGAACCAGGATCAATCACCGAACTACGCCGTAGTTCGCGGTCTCCTCTAATCCTTCGTGGGGGGTGGAACTCAAGAGGTTTCCTCACATTCGACGATCGCATTTATGTGCCGAACTACGCCGATGCTCGGCTGAAGATCATGAAGATGCGACATGACTCAGCCTTGGCCGGTCATCCAGGTTCGGCGAAGACCCTTGAACTAGTCCTGAGGGATTATGTCTGGGTTGGAGTAAGGAAGGATGTCGAAGATTATGTTGCTGGATGCGCGGTATGTCAGAGAGCGAAGACTAACAGGCAGAAACCTCATGGGGAGCTTAAACCACTGGAGGTAGCTACGAAACCTTGGTCTAGCATCTCGATGGATTTTATCGAGGAGCTGCCAAATTCCCATGGATATAATTCCATCCTGGTAGTGGTGGATCGGTTGACCAAATGGGCCATTTTTATCCCGACTACGACGAAGTTAACCGCAGCCGGCCTATCAGAGTTGATATTGGACTATGTGGTGGCCCAGCATGGGTTGCCAGAGAATATAGTATCGGACAGGGGATCGAAGTTTACCTCCAAGTTCTGGAAGAATTTGACCGATAGTCTCGGAATAAGACTACATCTCTCTACTGCATATCATCCACAGACTGACGGACAGACCGAACGAACCAACCAGTCTTTGGAACTGTATCTTCGAATCTTCACCTCCTATCAGCAGAACGACTGGTCAAAGCTACTCGCTCGAGCTAGCTTTGCTTACAACAACACCCAGCACTCTGCGATAAACAAAACCCCATTCTATGCGAACTATGGATATCACCCTCGTTGGGCTGAAGAGATAAAGGCTAGCGAGGTCGAAGTGCCCGCTGCTACGGTGGTGGTAAAAGACTTGACTGATATACACAAAGATTGTATCGAAGGAATTGAGAAAGCTAATGAGAAGTACGCCGAAGGATACAATAGGAAACACCGGACTACGCCGAACTTCGCGGAAGGAGACCTAGTGATGCTGTCGTTGGAGAATGATAAGACGAAGAGACCAATGAAGAAGTTAGATGTTAAGCAAAGTGGGCCGTACAAGGTAGTACGGCAGGTAGGTTCTCATGCTTGTAAATTGGAATTACCAGGAACGATGGCAGGTATCCATGATGTATTCCATGTCTCCTTGCTCCGTCCTTATCACCCTCCAATATTTCCTGGTCAGCAAGCTGAGCCACCTGGGCCAGTAGAAGTAGACAATGTGGGAGAGTCTTGGGAGGTAAAGGATATTGTGGACTCTAGAGTAAATAAGAGGTCAGGAAAGTTAGAGTACTTGGTGGAGTGGTTAGGTTACGAAGGAACAGACGATTCAGTATCATGGGAACCAGTGGAGAACGTCGATGGAGCTGATGACATATTGGCGAAGTTCCACGAACTTCACCCTACTAAGCCGAAGGAAGGGCGACTGCGAAGGGCTAGGAGATAGAACGTACTGCATACAACATAGGATTACAGCTACGTACCGCTCACTTGTCCTTACTCTTACCCTTACCTTTTTCTTTTCCTTTCTCCTTCGATCTACTCGGTCCCGCGGGATTGGTGTGGAGGCTACCGATGACCGAAGGTAGATCGAGAGTCTCAGACGGGAACGCAGTAGAGAGAGAAGCATTCCATGCCCGATTCATAGCCCCAAAGAAGTCACCGAAGTCCTGGACATCTCGAGCAGCTTGCATGCTCGGGGTCCTCCACAGAGAACGTATGGTCCGTAGACACTCGAAGGGAAGACTGAGGAGGTCGAGAGCAGTCTGGGCGGAAGCTGGGACACGAGAATTACTACGGCGACCTAACCAGTCAAGGGACGGTGGTGGCTCATACGCCATAGGAGTGACTAGGAAGGGGGTGTCGAACAGTCTTCGGCGAACATCGGCTATCTCAGTAAGGCTTCGGCGAGAGACGTCCGCTAACCTTGTCCTTGCTTCGTCGTCCAGAGCCCCAGTGTTGACTACATCTACTAACGCCGCAGTAAGATTGTTTAAAGCGTTAGCTTGACGAGAAGAGAAGTCAAGCAGGAGAGATGTATCATTTCGGGCGGCCTCAAGCTGAGTAGTGAGACCGAGGACGAGAGAACGATAAGTGGCGAATTCCTTTTCGTCCTCAGGAATACGGACGTCCAGGGAGATACGAGGGTGGACGAGGGACAACCGGGGAGCAGAGGGACCAGCACGCTGAGTATCTTCATTTTCCACATCACCATCATTGAAGGCAACCTCCTTCTCTTTAGATTTCCCTTTTGATTTCTTTAAAGAAGACTTCGGTGTCTTCTGGGAAGCAGAGGGAGGGGTGACGGGAGGGGCCGCCGAAGTGGCCGGAGGAACAGAAGGACGCCGACTTCGGGTGCTGTGAGCCGGAGGAGAAGCTACCACTGGAGAGGACGGACGTGGTGCCGAAGGACGAGAGGCCGAAGGAGCAGAGGCCGAAGGACGGCGAGAAGACGAAGGAGGAACAGCCGGGAGACGTGATGGGCCGGCCACAGGAGCGAAGGGCGACGGCGACGGAGGCGACGGGCGGAGGTCCGGCGAAGTACGGCGAACCGACCGGAGAGACGAAGGAGGTACCCGCGAACGGGGGACAGACGCTGGAGTCTGAGGAGGGGGGAAGGGCGAAGAGTGGGAGGGACGGGGCGGGATGTCCCGGGCAGAGGAAACGGGACAGAAGGAGCAGGGGCCAGACGTGCATGAAGCACAACGGAGGGCCTTGTTGTGTGGCCTGACTGCCTTGAGGCAGGGCCAGTTTGGACGATTATACGTGATAATCTCACGTCTACTAATTAGCAGGAGTAACTTCGGCGTAGAACGAATAGGTGGACTCACCGGCAACGATCACACGCTTCGTCAACACCAACCGCGATCCAACGACCAGGCTCGGACTTCATCTTCTCCCACAAGTACTCTTCTTCCCGCAGTGATCTCTTCACCCGTTTGGGCGAAGGCTCCCCTCTGGGAGAAGGGGGGGGAGCAGCGACGGGGACGGCGGCGGCAGCGGCGATGGCGTTGGGGGGGGGGAGAACCCCGGAAGAGGAAGAAGAAGAGGAAGAAGAAGAAGAGGAAGAAGAAGAAGAGGAAGAAGAAGAAGAAGAGAGGGAACGGCGTCGTTTCTGGCCCACAATTTGAGCAGGGGGAGGGGCAGGACCGGCTGCGAGTTAGCAATGTCTTGGAGAGCTAAAGAACAGATAAACAAGGCCAAGTTCGGCGAAGGTGTGAGGGGTTGGACGAAGAACTCACGCTCAGGACTATCTACGTTGTTGTCCTCTACACTAATCACCTCCACGTCATCATCCGGGTATTCTTCTAACTCGCTTTCACCCTCACTATCGATCCTACCCTCCCCATCATCATCATCCTCACTTTCTTCGGTGTCGGGTCGATCACCCGACTCCGAGCCCCCACTGAGCGAGTCCTGGTCGGAGGAGGACGGAGACTCACCAGGACGAAAGGCGGGCGTCCTACGGCGAGGAGTGGGGGCAGGAGGAGGCCCTCCAGGAGAACCCGTTACGGGGACGGGAGAACCAGCGGAGGGAGAGGCGGAGCGAGGGGGCGGGGCAGCGCCAGACGGCTCCCCCAGAGAGAGAGTGCCGAGGCCGAGGGAGGAGACTTGGCGAGATCTGTCGCCGAAAGAAACTGAACATCAGCCAAGTTCGGCGAGGTAGGGTGAGTATCGATGAAAACTCACGAGCAGATGACACCATACCACCAAAGTTCCTCATGGCGGCGAAAGGGCTGGGTGTAGGAGTAGAAGGGGCCATGACGTTAAGATATTTAAATGAGAATAAAACTCGAGGCGATGATTCAAGGTAACAAATCTGTTTTCTAGGTAAGAGAGATAGAAAGTTTTGAAAGCAGATGGGAAAAAGAGAGAAGCTCGACGAACTGCTCAGTATTTAGTATAATCAAACCTAACCCCTCGTCGTCAACATGCAGCAAACTTCGCGTTTCATCAACAAAAGGCATCGCAGGGACGATCAAAATTCCCACGCTATAGTGTCTCATCTCAATATAAGCGAGGGTTACTTCGACAAACAACGGTGTTGTTCGGCTGCCATTCAGGAAGCGTGTCTCACCTACAAAAGACACAGGGCTTCTTACGGCAAACCTCGACGAAGTTAGGGGAGTCTCATTGTCGGGTTCTGGAGTGAAAGGAGGCCCAACTACGAAGTGCGGCGCAAAGAGCAGAAGAGTGGAGGATGGTCATGGGGAGGGAGAGAATGGGGTACTACGCTGCTAAGTTCTCTTGCCACGACAGAGGTGTAATCGCTCACGAGGACGTTCGCGGCTAAAGAAGGGGGCGACTGTCACGAACTACGTCGTGACACCTCGATTACTCCACCAACAATGACCCTCCTTTGGCCATCAAAACCCCATCACGCCTTAACCTCTTTACTCTACACGTAACTCAGGACTTCTGACACCAAGTACGGCGAAGTTAGACGGAGTTAGGCTAAGTAGGGACAATGGGAGCAGAAGTACGGCGAAGTTAGACGGGGTTAGGCTAAGTAGGGACAATGGGAGCAGAAGTGCGGCGATGTTAGGCGGGGTTAGGCTAAGTAGGGACAATGGGAGCAGAAGTGCGGCGATGTTAGGCGGAGTTAGGCTAAGTAGGGACAATGGGAGCAGAAGTGCGGCGATGTTAGGCGGAGTTAGTCGAAGGAGGAAGAGGATGGCCGAGGGCTCGGGGAAGTTGGACGAAGTGCGTTGAAGTACGTCAAAGCGCGAGAGGGTTGGATGAACGTCTAGGAGGAGTAGATAATATTAGCTGAGAAGATCGCTGAAGTTCTTCAGCGATCCTTGATTGTTGTCAGTAGTGAAAGACAGATAGAGATAGCTATAAATCAAGATACATCGCCATCAGTAGAACAAAACCCTAGTTAGAGTAACTACGCCGAAGTACGCCGTAGTTACACCCCTTTCGACGTCTGCGCCCTCCTGGTTGGGTGAGACATCGACTCAGAGCGTGAAGTTAGCCGAGGTTCGTCGACCGTCGGTCTATTAAGAAATAGTTGTTCGACGGCCGTGACAACCAAGCTCCGAAGTAGTCTCACACCGCTTGGAAAAATGGGTTCCTTCTGGAAGGTCCTGTAGCTCAAGATAAGCCTTCAGCCATGTGTTATCAGTAGGAATGTTCTCTGTCAAGCCAAGGTCGATAGTTGGAAGGTACCTGTTGGCTTCCACATCATCTGAAGTCTCTTTTGCCCTTGGGTCATTGTGCCTATCTGGTCCTGAGAGTGTGTGCAGTTCTTGTTGCACCTGGGAGGGCAGACTCTTAGATGCTCCTGTTGATGGACCAGTGTTCAATACTTTGTCATCCAATTTCATACCCCTGGCTATTTTATACCTAGTCCTTCCATGCTCTTGGAAGGCAGTAAGATGCCCCGGGTGAATGAGGCAGCAAACAGTTTCCCTGGGATCAGGACCTAAGACATATACGGCCTCTTCCATTTTGGTCAGGCATATGAAGCAATCCTCGGGCTGTGTAACGGTACTGGAAACACGACGACTAGGTCGCAGGTTGGGTCGAACTCGATGGAGGTCTCGTGGAAATCTAGGGGCTCTGGTGCTAATGGATCGTGTCTCCTCTGCAATCGATGTAGCCAAGAATGATATTGAAGAATCAGCAAAGTTGGTACTTTGCTGATTGTACTATATACTGTCTACAGGTATCCGTGTCCTCCTCTCAGTTCCTACTGCAAGCGTCTATGTACATACTCGGACAGGTGAAAAACCGCTTTTGAGCAAACCCAGTGGGGAAATCTCGAAAAGGGAAAACCCGTCCCTACCTACTGCAGCACTGCCTCCAACTCCCGCTTTCCTCTGTCCTAATCCGTCGAACTCGATAGAGTCCTCTCGATTCGTTGTTACCCCGTAACAAGTTTCCCCCCCTGTCTCAAGGATCCTCGCCGAGGATCCTGAACCCTGTAACCAGGTGATGCACATGGATTGTTCTTAGACACCTTTGGTGCGCCCTGACATCATACCCACGCTAGTGTGACGGTTGCCATGAAAACGCGTCACCCGCACGGACCTCCAATGTGATCGAGAAATTACTGACCAAGTTACCTCCCCGTCTTCTTTCTCTTCTTTCCTCCTCATTCTCTCTTTACCTCTTGTTTGTCGTTCTTTTTACTTATCTATCATCATCCATCCATATCTTACTCATATCTTAGAGTATCCTTCCAACTCTGACCTGTCTGTGAGCATGTCTAAGCGTACTGTAAGCAATTCCCTTCGAATTCGATGTATATCCTCCTATCTCTCACTGGCTGACGAGATTAGTTGTCTCCTTCCACCTCCTCCCGTCAAACTCGAGCTTCTACCTTGGCAATCCTGCCTGACGTCGACCCCGAACTCCTCATGCGTAAGACGAAAAGAATGAGAATTACGTCTGAAGCCGCTTCCTCTCAACCCCCATTGGTTGATGCGTCTCGACGAGCTCTCGACACCATTAAGGAGAAGTATCAATCCGGTCCTTCTCGCGAAGCACAATCGCTCCATGATGACCATGTCACAGAGCAA